TTGTATGATTCAGGTTTACTTTCAAAATTAAAATGGTTTTGTTGTTGCAATTCTTGTCTTCTTAGATTTAGCAATTCTTCAATTGCTTGATGTTTTTTTTGTGCCTGTTCTTGAACTCTTTGTTGGGCTAAATATTCATCAGAGTGTGGTGGACAAGAATATTGTGATGCATTTGATTGATAATTGCCATTTCCATTGTTGTAGTTGTTGCCATTGTTGAAGTTGTTGTTGCCATATTTGTTGTTGAAATAGTATTTAATTAAAACCATACCAAGTAAGAAGGAAATAACTAATGTGATAATGGTTTGAAAAAATAAATCAACGTAGTCGTTCATTTTTTTTTTATGGTAGTTTGTTAAAGAATGTTTATGAAAGTGGATATTGAAATTATTATTTAGTGGACTTGTTATTTATTTGATTTATATAAAAAATTATAGCTATTATTAATTATTATTATTATTATTGACTATTTTAAAAAAAAAAAAATGAATATAATTATTTGTAAATTGATAAAACGAAAATGAAAAAAAAATATAATGTTCCCCCACATTCACAAAAAAAAAAAAAAATTAAAACTTTTTAAAAAAAAAGAAAAAAAAAGAAAAATTTTATTAAATAAAAAAATAAATGGGGTTTTGTTTTTATTTAAAAAAAAGAAATTTCAAATTTTCTACAAAAAAAATAAGATATGATGCACATCATTATTAAAAAATTATAACAATAGTTTTTAATTTATATACACACTATAGATTTTATTAATAGTGATTCATTACGAAATTATCATCATTCAATTTAATTTGTTAATCAATTTAAATCATTTTTGTTAAATAAAATTATAATTATAATTTATCAAGTATTGTGTTAACTAACTTTGGATGTCCGTACAATGCAAGTGTAACTAGATAAAAGTATTTACGGCATAGGTTTACTTTATTTCACAATCATCTTATTTGGAAACCCAACAAACACTCTCCCCAAATTTTGAAGATCAAGGTGAAAACAATTTCTGCCAAAGGTACAAGTATAGAAAAATAAATAATGATTTATTAATAATAATAATGCAATCATCATTGCATAATATACAAAAGAAAATAAATAAATATCTTTTTTTTTATTATCATTTAAAAGACTATTCTTTATTTTATTTTTATTTTATTATTTATTTTTTTATTTATTATTCTAATATTATATATTTATATATTCGATGCATGTTTGTTTTTTTGTCATTTTTTTCTTATAAAAAATTTTATTTTTTTTTTTTATTTTTATTTTTTTTATTTTTTAAAAAAAAAAAAAAACTTAAAAGCGGGTGAATTTTTAAAATAATACAAATATAACAAATATAATTAAAAATATTTGTTTACAAAAAATTTAAATAGATATTATATAGTAATAATAAAACAAAAATGAAAAATGCAAAATGATGAAGATTTGCCTCCAAAAGATATTGATGAGCCTTTAATTAATAATCGTTCAATATTAAATAATAATAATATTAATAATAGTAATAATAAAATACCAACATCTTCTTCACCAATTAAAAATGAAGATTTTGAAGATTTTTTAGAGAATTTTAGCGATGGAGATGATTTAGAAGGTCCAAAGGATATTGATAATTCAATATATATAAATAAAAAAGCAAAAACTTCAATAAATACATCAACTGCAACTTTAACAGCAAACGAAGAAGAGTTTGATTTTGACGATAGTGAATTCTTTTTTGATGATGATAATAGTACAACCAATAATTTAAGTAATATTGGTAATACAATAAAAAATAGTAATAATGCAACATATAAAAAAAGTTATAATAATTATCGAAATAGATATAATAAAAACAACAATAATAATAATAATAACGATGATGGTACAGACAAGTTGGATAAAAGATTAGAAGATTTTAAAAAATCAGGGGTTAAGGAAGCTAAAAAAAGAGGATTAACACCAAAGAAAATAGTATCAAAAGCATCCACCGCAGCAGCATCTACATCAAAGGTTAAAAAGATACCACCATCTTATAAGGTTTTACATGGCACGAAATTTTTAGTTGATGGATTTCAATACAAATCTGAAGACTATAAACATTATTTTTTGTAAGTATTAAAAATTTAAAATTTAAAATTCGAAATAATTATAATTACTAACAATTATTTAATTTTTATAAATAAAATAGAACTCATTTCCATTCAGATCATTATACTGGTATTACAAAAACATGGGCATTTGGTAATATATATTGCACTGAAGAGACTGGTAGATTGGTATCACACAAGCTTGGGGTCGATAAAAAGTATATTAAAGGTATTTCGTTTAACAAAACATTTGAAGTCGAAGGTGTAAAGGTAACATTTTTAGATGCAAATCATTGTCCTGGTTCTGCAATCGTTTTATTTGAAGTAAAGATGCCCAATGGTGAAATTGAAAATATATTGCATACTGGTGATTTCCGATATCATCCATCAATGAAGCAGTATCCTCATTTAGAAGGCAAAGAAATCTCAAAACTATATTTAGACAATACCTTTTGCAATCCAGAATATACATTTCCGCCACAGCACGAGATCATTAAACAGGTTAAAGATATTGTAAGAAAAGAAAATAATGGAAAAACTTTATTCCTATTTGGTACGTATGTAATTGGTAAAGAAAAGATCTTACTAGAAGTTTCAAAACAAGAAGGCAAGCCAATAGGTGTTACAAAAGAAAAATTTGAAATCTTAAACTGTTTAGACTCCATAGACCAAACCAAATTTACTTTAGATTTAACTTGTACACCATTTCGTGCGGTTTCAATGGGTCTGCTGGGTTTCCAATCAATGATGAATTTATTAGAAGAATCAAATGGAAAGTATACAAAGGTTATAGGATTTAGGCCAACAGGTTGGAGTCAGTCAAAGAAATCGATTACCTATCAAAATAGAGGTCCAACTGTTTTTTATAGTGTAGCATATAGTGAACATAGTAGCTTTAATGAGTTAAGAGATTGTATCGATCAATTAAGACCAAAAGAAATTATACCAACTGTTGATTGTGATACTCCCTATAAAGTTTCTGTAAGTTTAAAATTAATAAATATAAAAACTAATAATAAATTTCTAACATTTTTTTTTTTTTAATTTTAGAAAATTTTATCACATTTTGAGGATATTTATCAAAAGAAAAAACAAATTTCAATTTCATCATTTTTTACTGTGCAACCAGTTGCCTCTTTTATTACATCATTATTCAAATCGAAATCTGATATCCCTTCCTGTAATAATAATCATATCTCCTCAAAAGAAAAATCAGTCACAACACCTAATAAACCATCAGTAAATAATAATGATGAGGAAGATGATGAAATAACTTATTTATATCAAACCCCAACAAGAAATAATAGTAGTATAGATATCAATAATAATAACGATAATAGTTTGAAAATAGATAAAAAAGAACCAGAATTTAAAAAAGACTATAAATTTGATGATTCGTTATTATTTTTATCAGACGAAGATGATATAAAAATCAACAATTTGAATAAAAGCAAAATTAAAAATAATGATATTCCCACTTCCACCTTTACTACAACTTCCACTTCTACTTTCAAGTCTTCTAGTATAAACAATAATAATAATAATATAGATAGCAATATAGATAATAAAAACAAAATTAATAATGATAACGATAATGATATTAATTATGACTATGATAATAATTATAATTTAAAATTTGAAAACAACAAAATAATTAATAACAATAATACAGAAAATAATAGTCAATGTCAGGATTTAGTTTTATACCAAGAGAATGAAAATTTAGGGTTTGACTTAAATGATCCAATATTTATAAATCAACAAAAATGGATAGAAAAACAAATATTTAATTCACCCACAAGCACATCATCAACAAACTACAAAAATATAGACATTGGTAGTTTGGGTAAAAATAAATCACCAATCTCTAAAAACAATAATAATATTAGTAATAAAAGAAATAGTATAAATAATACCAAGTCTTTACCAAACTCTCCAAATAATAGTAATAGCAATATTAAAAATAACAATAATTTAAAAAGAAGTAAATCAGAATCATCTTTTTCAAATAATTCACCATCTCCTTCAATAACTAAAACAAAAACAACAACCACTACAACCACAAAATCTACACAAAATAGTACTACTACGTCTTCTCAATCTTTAATTACATCATTCTTTCAAAAATGCACAAATTCTTCCTCCAATACAAATCAGTAAAATAATAACCAAATAAATAAATTTTTTTTTTAATAAAAACATCACATATAAAAAATCTATGTTTAATCTAAATAGATTTATAAAATAAAATCATTAAATTTTACTCTATTGTCAATTCTTTTAACGTCTTATCATATTTATAGAAACAAAAATAACATAACTACAATTGATTCCACAAATTCTATATCCAATTTCGGTGGTGTTTTTTTAGATATGAAATTTTATAATTGTGTCATCATTAAATAAACTAATTTATATATTTTAATAATTAAATAATAAAATAATTAATAAAAAGAAGAAAATAAAATTTAAAAAAATAAACGAAAAATCATATATGTAAAAAAAATAATAAAAAAATTTATGGTAATGGATAAAAGAAAAAAAAAAAATATTTAGAATCCCATTAAAATTTGTACATTCATTAAATTTTTATTATTTTTCTAAATTATTTGTATAAACACAAATAAATTTCAACCCTTTATATGAAAGAATATAGTTTTGTTATTATGTATATATTTGGTATAGTTAAAACAATTTTGTGTAACAAAGCAAATAAAAACAAATAAAATAATATATTAACATTTATATTTATTTCAACTAACATCAAATAACTTTTCACTTATAGATTTTTTTGTCAACATCAGTTTAAATACCGAGCATTTATTAAATTTTTTTTTTTAATTATAAATAAATTAAAAATTTAACATCACAATATCATTAAAGATTAATATATTATTTTTTAATTTTTAATCTTTTTGATCTTATAAAATTTTTTATTACCCTCCTTCTAAATCAGTAATGATAATTATTATACTAATTTATAAATAAAATTAAGATTTATTTTTTTTGTGTGAGAATGAACAAGAAATAATTATATAATAAATATTTATATGATACATTTATAAAAGAATAATTAACAATAAAAATATTACAATAGATTTATTAATTAAAGCATGCGTTTTTATTCATTTTACTAATATTTTTGTTTCGAATTAAAATAGTGCCATGTATGATAGTGTTGTTTTTATTTAATTTGTATACAATATGATTATACATATTATTTCTAGAATCAATAATTATAGTTATAATATTTATATGTATCTATAATGTAAATCTTATATTAATGATATTATTAATCTCTTTTTAAGTAAATTGTAATAAAAATAAATAAATAAATAATCGTTTCCGATGCGAGTAGAGAATATGTTATTTATTTTGTGGGTAAAAATGTGTGTTTACATTTTTATGTGGGGAAGGGGTGTGTGAGTGTGAGTTATTGAGTTTTTTATTTTATAAAATATCTGCGAGTGCTTGTGTGTTTATACAGCAGTGTGCGTGTGTGTGTGTTTTTTGTGATTTATGTTTAGTTTTTAAAATTAAAGAAAGTTTTTATTTTGATACTATTAATATGCATTACAGACGTCAAATTATAAAAATTTAAAGAAAAAAGAAAATTGTTTTAATTATGAAATGATATATACTTAATTATTGTTATTTAAATAATTGATTACAATAATATCCCACTAATAAAATGAAATTAACTATATATGTATAATATCATAGAATCAGCCCTACTCTAAATATAAAGTATTTGTTGTTTTTAAAATAAAAACTTTTATTTTTACTTTCATCCATTTTATTAATTATTTTTTATTATTGGAGTATTAAATTTTGAATTTTATTCCACCAGTATTAAATAAATAAATAATAGTTAAATTTGACAATAATAACTAATAACTATTATTATTATTATAATTTATAATACAGTTGTTTGAGTGTGTGAGTGTAATAATAATTGTTAACCTCAAATATTATTATTATTATTATTTTTATACTAGAAATATTTTTAAAAGTAAAACTAGAATCAAATGATGATGATGATAAAAATTTTTAAGATGTTGATGATGGATTTAATTTAGTGTTATTAATAGTAATGATGTTTATCACTATTATTTGTTAATTAAAAAATAATAATTATTCTTTTTTTTTTTATTTTTTTTATTTTTATTATTTTTTTTTTTTTTGATCATTTTACAAATTATCTGATATCCATTTTTTATTTAAAAAAGGTAACTATAATACAAAGTTATAAAGAAAGTTGTAAACCGAATAATTTTAACAAATAAAATTAATTTTTATTTAATTTTAATTTAATTTTGGTTAGGTGTTTTTAAAAAAAAACAATATAAATAGAATTAAAATTATTTTCAATATATCTCATTAAATTAAATAACAATAATAAATAAAATAAAATAAAATAAATAACAAACAAAAAAATAATTTAATTTAAAGAAGAAAAAATGAAATTATTATTTACTTTATTAATTGGTTTTTTAGGTTTTGTATTAGCTGCAAATGCTTTATGCAGTAAAGGAATTGATCAAAAGATTTACGATGATCAATTAGGTTATACAGTCGCTGATTGGTCATGGGCTAAACCAAGAAACTTTACATGCACCAAACCAGTTAGATCAGGTATTCACTCTATTGCTTTCTTCCCAAAAACTTATGATGGTTTATACTTTAATTTACAAAATCCAATTGATCCATCAATTGTAAGTATATTTTAAGTTATTTTTATACGTTATATAAATCCGCTAATGATATTTTATAACTATAGATTTCATTCGTTTCATTTTGGGTACATGGTAACAAAGCAGGTGGTCAAAAGGTTTTAGTAAGATTTACTTTAAATAAAGTTGCAGTTTCTAGAGATTTCTACCTTTATGGTCAAGACTCAATTGTTGCAAATACAACCAATGGTAATATTCTTCCAGGTTGTTGGAGTCAAGCTATTATTAACACTGACCATTTAGAACCAGGACAATATGATGGTATTCAAATCTTATCATCCGGTGAGGAAGTTCAAGAATTGATGTACATTGATGATATTGAAGTTCATAAGAGATGTGACAACACACCATACAGAAATATCATGAAACCAGAGGTTTGTGATGGCCATGATTGTGTTTCAGTTGCAGTCAAAGAAGGTGAAAAGAATTGGATTCAAAACGGTATCGAATATCAACAATACGTTGTTACAATGAAAAACAGTTACACTAAACCAGTTACCATCTTAGAATTCAATGGTGGTTGGTTCAAACCAAGAGATGCCAAAAGATATTTGGAATGTTTCATACTTGGAAGGTGGTTTCTACGGTCTCCCAGATCACATTGAACTTGTCTACCCAGGTCAAGAATACCAATTCGGTTGTGTCTCTGTTAAAGGTCCAGTTTCATTCAAAATTAGCTATGTTGAATATGAAAATGAAAAAGGTCACGCCATCGCTGCCAAACCAGCTAAATCTGTTGAAGCCGCTGCTGCTAAACCAGCTGCTAAAACAGCTACTGAAGCTAAACCAGCTGCCAAACCAGCTGCCGCTAAACCAGCCACAAAAGCCACTGCTACTACACCTGCTAAAAAAAACTAAATCATTCCATTTAATCTAAAAAATTATTATTATTTTAATATTATTTAAAACTGATCATCAAATTTTATTAAAAAAAAAAAAAAAAAAAAAAAAAAGAAAAAAAAAAAAAACCAAGTAATAATAATTATCATCAATTTAATAATCTTATTATACGATACAATACTATTATAAAAAAAACTATTGTAATAGTATAAATCTATAATAAAAAATATAAAAAATACTACTATTTAATCAAAAAAAAAAAAAAATAATAAAAACATTTATTTTATAATTATAACATATTTTTATTTTATTTTATTTTTATTCCTTTTTTAAATTTAAATTTGATATCTATATTTGTTATAATAAAAAAAATAATATTAATAAAACATATATTTGAAACGAATTATATATAATTAAATATCTTACCTTTTGATTGTTTAAAGTCCTGGTTTGAAACAACAGAAAAATAATTTAAATTTAATTTTACGCATTTTGCTTTTGAATGACATTTTATAATAATTATATATTTATAAACTAATTATAATAATGTGTATTTGTCAAAAAAAAAAAAAAAGTTTTAAAAAAAAATCAAAAACACTTTTAAAAATAATTTTTTTAAAAAAAAACAAAAAAAATAAAAATAAAAACAATTATTTTTAAAAAATGGTCTCTTTTATATATATGCAAATTTATGATCAAGTGTGTATGCATAAATAAAAAAAGAAATTCACACCTCTCATAAGTTGATGGCGCAATAAAAAAATAATCTTTTTTTGAAACAGTGTAAAAACACAAAAATAGTCAACTTTTTTTTTTAAATTTTCGAAAATTTAAAAAAAAAAAAAAAGTTAAAATAAATTAATTAATTAAAAAATCTAAATAAAAATAACCCCTTTAATAAAAGGAATCTGTGGATTGCTATTATAAAAAAATGCAAAATATCCACAAACGTTTAGCAATTCGTTGAGAATCCAAACCTAACCAAACCAATCCATACCATTCATATAATATTCAATTTTTTCATTAATATTTGAATATTTAAATAAGATATAATTAACAACAAAACTAATATTAATATTAATAAACATTACCCACAAAAATATCTTTTTTTTTAATTATTTTTTTTTTTTAATTAAAATTTTTTTTTATTATTTTTTTATTTTTAATTTTCTTCATTTTTTTTTAAAATTTTTTCAATTCAACAAAAAAAAAACAATTATAGATTTATAGATGGATTTAACAAATTTACCACCACATTTAAAATTTCAAATCTTAGGATTATTAAACAATAATAATAGCAATAATAAACAAGAAACACCAACTAAAGGAAGTGAGGAAATTGCAAATGAAAAAGTCAGCGATGTAAAGATTGATTTAACATCAAATATAAAAGAAGAAAATTTTAAATTATTTAGCAAAGAATCATTAGAGCAACTTGAAAAACAAGGTTATTTAATAATAGATAATTTTTTAAACAATAATGAAATTATAGACTCCATTTACAACGAGGTAGGTTGACTTACATAGGTATTATTATAATCATTTGTTTTTTACTAATTTATATTTTATAATTTTAATATTTATAGTCATATACTCAATTTAAAGAAAATAAACTAATTGAAGCAGGTATGAATAAAGGCAATGAAAAGTGGAAAGATAAGTCAATTAGAGGTGATTATATTAAATGGATTCATAGAGGATCTAATAGCAGGGTTGAGGATGAAGAGTTTTCGAAATCAATACCAAATATAAATTTACTTTTAGATAGATTGGACTCGATAAGAAATGAATTCGATAGTGTTATACCTCACTTTAAATCAGTTAAAACCCAAACCCAATTGGCAGTATATTTAAAAGGTGGAAGATATGTCAAGCATAGAGATTCATTTTATTCATCAGATTCATCAACCTTATCGAGAAGAATTACAATGATTTATTATGGAAATAAAGATTGGAAGCAAGGTGATGGTGGCGAATTAAGACTTTATAAAGAAAATAATAACCACCCAAATAATAGCAATTGTAACAATAGTAATGAATTTATAGATATCGCACCTATTTCAGATAGATTATTGGTTTTCCTTAGTCCATTTTTAGAACATGAGGTATTATCATGTAATTTCGAACCAAGAATTGCAATTACAACTTGGATATATTAATTTTAAAAAACAAACAAACAAACAAACAAAAATAAAATATAATATTTCTTTTTTTTTTTTTTTTTATACAAGTTTTTAATTATCTTTATTATTTTTATTTATTTCTTAAAAATTTAAAATTAAAGTCATCTTTTTGTGATATTAAATTAAAATCTTTGGAATCTATTAAAGATAGTTTAAAACCTTGGAAATAATAAAATATTTTTAAATTTAAATTTTTTATACTATTGTTTTCGTTTGATAATAAATAAAATAAATAATTGGAGTTGTTAAATAGTGGACAGTTTTCAGATATGTGGATGGTTAGGGTTTCGATGTTGTCTTTATTTTTGGTGGTTTTAAAAATTGATTCTAAATCTAATAAATTAAATGATTGATTAAGATTTAATGTAGTTATATTAGAGTTGTTTTTGATAAATAAGTTGAAATAGAATATTAAGTAGGCTGGGAATTGCTGGTTGCTGATGGTTAATTTGGTAATTGATGAGTCTAGATTCATTTGACAAAAATCTTGAAAATTTAAGGCGGAATACCCCGGTTTTAAAGTTAAGCATGTTAGATTTTTATTAAACTTTACCATTGAGCTAGGGATTATTGAAAGAGATTTTATTGATTGGTTAGGTGATGCTATTTCTTCCAATAGTTCTTTTTCTATTGGGAATGGTAGGTCTAAAGATTTAATTTGATGTGGCTTGCTCTTTATGAATTTTAAAACGTTATTGTTAAATAGATGTTGGTATTCTGTTATAAATGAAACGTTTTGTGGGTCAAAAAAGTAAATAGTGTCAATGGATAGATTCTTCAATCCTCCTAGGAATGATATTGAGTGAAAAAATTTCGAAGGTTCATTAATTAAAATATCTGAAAAATGTAAAGATTGAATATTCTTTAAGGTTTCTAATGGCAATAAATCGATTGATACTGGGTCAGCCCCTTCGTAACATTTAATTGAAAGTCTTTCTAAACCTTTTTTATTTTGCTTTGAAATTCTATTATTATAATCAATTAAAAACTTTGAAAATTCTTTGGTGTTTAAATTATCCGTCATGAGTGATAACTCTTTTAAATTTTCTTTTTCTAATAGTGGATCCCAAAGACTAGTTTGATAATCTTTTATTAATGGAAAAACTGATTTAATTTTAAACATTTCTAGTTCCTTTGAATCTCTTATTAAGTTTGGTATAAGAATATCTAACATTACATCGGTAGGTTTTACATTATTTTGTTGATATTCTGCTTTTGAAAATTGAATTGGTTCTTCTAATTTTAGATCCAAACTTGTTAAATTTCCATTTGAGATTGATAGTAACTTTTCGAAATAATAGCTTCTAACAAAAGAATGTAGTTTATTAATTGAACATTTCATCGATAGTGGGTATTTATAACAATTATATGGGTTGTCTATTTTTTCTATTAATGAAGGGTCCTTTAATAAAGAGTGGTTTAGGATTGTAAATAATTTTGAAATAAAATTGAAATGTTTTTTTGAAATTAGATTTAATGATAATTTCCATTTAAACTCTATTGTGTTGTCATACCAACAATATTCTAAAATTCTTTGATGTAAATATAAAGGTAATGATTTATATGGTGATAGCATTATTAAATATAAATACAAAATAAAAATTAAATAAATAAACTATTTAAAAAAAAAAAAAAAAAAAAAAAAAAATATTTTTAAAAGACTAAAATATAAAATAAAAATAATATTATTTTTAATTTTTAAATTTTTAAAAGACTAAAAATAATTAAAAATAAAAATATTAAAATAAATATTACTTATAATATTTATATATTAAAAATAAGGGTAAATAATAATAAAATAATAGTGTTTTTTTGTTTATTTATTATTTTTAAAATTTGAAAGATCTATTAAAAAAATCTTAAAACAAATATTATTATTTATGATATATGAAATATTATTTTATGGATGTAGAATGAAAATTAATAATTTTTTAAAAAATATTTCTGGTTTGGTTTTAAGTCTTATTGTGTATATATTTTTTTTTTTTTTTCTCTTTTTTATTTAATTTTATATTCCCATTTTTGTAAAGAAAAAAAATTTTATTTTCTTTTATAAAATTCTTATTACTTTGTGGCACAAAATTAATGAGTTTATAGTATATTATATTACCACACACCACCCAATTACCACATAAAAAATAAATATTTTTTTTTACAACGGTAAAAAAGTGTTTTATTAAATATTTGTGGGTGTGGGTGTTTTAAGGTATAATTTAATAATTTTTATTTAACCCAATTATTAAATACTCCTCAATGAAAATAATTTTATTTAATTAAAATTTTGTCTCATCAATTTAAAGTAGATTCAAATTAATCTAGATATTTTTTTTAAATATTAAATTAATTTTTTTTTTTTTTTTTTTTTTTTTTTTTTTTCAAATTATTTTTATATTATTTTTTTTTAATTTTTGTTTTAAATTAATTTTTCAAAATATGTTTAAGAAAATAATTAAAGATGAAAAATGAGAGGTATAACTTTTCACAAATTGGTCATGCTCTACTTTTATTGATTGGGGATGATGGTTGTGGAAAAACATCTTTAATTTATAGAATGGTAAATGGAACTTTTCCAACAGGCAATATTCCGAAATTGTTTGGAAGCTATTGTGCAAATGTACAATTTGGGAGCAGTTTAATAAACATGGAAATATGGGACTCATGCAATACACAGCATAATAATTCTCTTTGTAATCCTCAAACAAGCTGCATCATTTTATGTTTTTCAATATCAAATAGAGATTCATTTAATAGGTGTTTAGTTAATGTAGGTTGATAAATAAATTAATCCAATCATAATAATAACAACAATGGTTAAACTAATATTCATTTAGTACCAAGCAGAGATTCAACTAAACCTCCCAAACACACCAGTAATTTTGGTTGGTACTAAAGCAGACCTTTATGAAGATCCAATATATATAAAAGATAATTTAATTACAAATAGCGAAGGTGTTGAAATGGCAAGTAAAATAAATGCAGTACAATATATAGAGACATCTGCATTAAGTGATATCAATGTAATGAGGGTTTTTGAAGTCGCTTCAACAGTTTCAATCAATCGTAAAAATAACAAACAACATGATAATACAAATGGAAATAAAAATAAATGTATAATAAATTAAAGTTAAAAATTATTGTTAAAAATTTAAGGTATTTCTTTTTTTTTTATAGAGCATAATAAAATTATACTTTAATTTCATTTCGACAAAAACTTAAAAAAAAAACTTTCACAAATTTTAAACGATACTATAAATTTATTTTTGCCATCAAACAAAACAACAATAATATCAACACACACACACCTTGAACCAGTATTTTATTTTAATATCATTAATATCAAAATCAACTCACACACCCCACCATACAATTTTTATTTAAAAATTTTTTTTTGAATATTTAAAAAACCACACACTCTCATATCGCAGCTTACACAAGATTTTCATTTGATTGAATATATTTTTATATTAAAAAACTCAAGAGCAACAACTAAAAAAACCACATCAAAAACAACAACAGGTAATATTTATTTATAAATTGAGAATCATCTAGATTACAATATATATAGTTTGTTTTTAAAAGCACACATATGTAATATTAAAGTTTATCAAATTGTAATTTTTTTGTTCTTAGAAAACCCCCACTTTAGTGGTGTTTTTTTTTTTTATAATTTTAAAAATAACAAAATTAATAATCAATTTTTTATAAATATAAGTTGTTTTGATATGGAGGTTGTTCATTTTTTTTTTTTATTTATATAATATTTAAAAAAAAAATAAAATAAAAAAAAATTGAAATTAAAATTTAAACACAAGAAAAAAAAAAAAATAATTTAACTATTTCATCACTCTTTAACATCATCTTTAACACCATCTTATAAATATTAATCATTTTGTAACATTATTTCTGTATTACTATACTATTTAAACAATATATATAAATTTATTCACTATATATAAAAAACAATTAATAAATTAAATTAAATTAAATAATAATCAAATGACACAAGTTGATGATTGTAGTTCTGATGATAGTTATAGTACAGTTAGTAGCACAGTATCAAGAAGTACAACCATAAATGAAGAGAGAATATATAGAGTTGCATGTTTAGGAACACCAGGATGTGGTAAATCTCAATTACTTTTCACATATTGTAGTGGATTCCCTCTAAACTGGGTTAAAGAGATCTTTGATAACTATCACAAAAAAGTATTGATAAATAACTCCAAAAATATTCACTTGGAAATATCTGAAACAAACTCAATCGAGGAATTAGAATCTATAAAAGGTGATAATGGTTTAAATCATATAGATTGTTTTTTAATCTGTTTTTCAATCACCAATAGAAAATCATTTGAAAGTTGTTATTCACTAGTAAGTATATTTATTGATATATATAAAAAAAATTTTCTAACTTTAAATTTTTAATTTCTTTTATAAAGTGGTATCAAGAATTAATTAAAAATAATTTAGCAAATACAAAAAGTTCAACACCAATCATATTAATAGGAACTAAAAATGATCTAAGAAATACAATTAATAATAAAAATGAAAACTACTATTCAAATAATGAAAGCTATATTGAAGATCCCTGTAATGATGGTAAACCTTATGTTTCATATGATGAAGGTTTAGAAATGTCAAAAAAAATAGGCGCCGCACATTTCTTTGAAATCTCCTCTCTATTGAATAAAACAGGTTCTATTGAAGATTTATTCAATAAAATAGCTGTTGTAGTGTATAATAAAAATAAAAGTAAAAATAAAAAAAAGAAAAGTGGTTGTATAATCAATTAGTCCAAAAGTATAATCTAATAGTGATTATTAATAAAAAAATAAAAAAAATAAAAAAAAAGAATAAATTACAATTTGTATATGTATGTTTTTTATAATAAACGAACACAAACGAAATGATGTAAATTATTTATTTTATCTGTTTATTTATTTTTTGGGTTTTTTTTATTTAATTTCTTTTTTTGGGACCAGCCAAAGATTATAAATTTCTTTTTTAGATTGACCTGTTTTGCTAAAAAAATAAGAAATTTAGACCAAAGAATAACCTTTTAATATAAAACTTGGTCATTATAGGAACTGAGAAAAATAGTGTAATTTTTTTTTTTAATAATATTTTCCCCTTTTTTTAATTTAAATGTTATAAAAAAAAAAAAAAAAAAAGTAATTTATTTAAGATTTATAATGATATTTTAAAAACTAAAAAAAAAAAAATCAAAGAAAAACAAAGTAGGTTTAATAAAGGGTGATAATACACCCTTTTTTATTTAATATCCACATTCATTTAAAATAGGGATAAATATGTAAAATTCAAAAAAAAACGAAAATAAAAATTTTTAATTATTTTTTATTTTTTTTTTAAATTTTTTTTTTAAATTTTTAAAAAATTATTTTTTTTATTTTTTTTATTATTGTTCACATTTATATTTATATTTATTTATTTTAGTTTATTAATAAATATCTGTAAATTAATAAAAGATGTCAGATCAACAACCAACTCCAGAAGCTCCAAAAAAGGAGATTGATGAAGAAACTAAAAGAAAGAATGAAGAAAAAAAGAAAGCTAAAGAAGCTGAAAAAGCTGAAAAGTTACTCAAAATGAAAGAAAAAGAAGCTAAACAAGCTGCTGCCAAAGAAAAGGAACTTGCAAATAAAGCCAAAAAAGAAGCAGAAAAGAAAGCTAAAGAAAATGAAGAAAAAGAAAAACAAGAAGCTGAAACAAAGAAAATTAATGATTATATTTCAGAATTATTAAAAACTCCAAAAGGTTCAATTAAAAGTAAGTTTAATAAGGGAACTTATATGTTTTTAAAATATCAATCTCATCATACTAATAGGTATTAAATTATCATTACTATTCAAATTAATTTTTAAAAAATCAAATTATTTAAAAATATTTCAACAATACATATTCAAATTCAAATTCAAATTATTTTAAAATTTTTATAGATACATCAAATTTATTACCAGCATATCATCCATTAGCTGTAGAATCAGTTTGGTATGATTATTGGTTAGAAAATGGATATTTTTCACCAGAAACACAAATGGAAATTCAACCACATGTTATGAAAGATAAGAAATTTATTATTGTTATTCCACCACCAAATGTTACAGGTAGTCTTCATTTAGGTCATGCTTTAACCAACTCAATTCAAGATGCAGTTGTTCGTTATCGTCGTATGAAGGGTGAAGTTTGTTTATGGGTTCCAGGTACAGATCACGCTGGTATTGCAACACAAGTAGTTGTCGAAAAGAAACTTTGGAAAGATTCAAAGATCACTCGTCATGATTTAGGTCGTGAAGAATTTATTAAAAAAGTTTGGGAATGGAAATCTGAATATGGTACTCGTATTCAAAATCAATTAAAGAAGATGGCTTCATCATATGATTGGAAGCGTGAAGTTTTCACAATGGACGAGCCACGTTCAAGAGCTGTCAACACTGCTTTTATTCGTATGTTTAATGATGGTCTTATTTTCCGTACCACTCGTTTAGTCAATTGGTCATGTGCCCTTAAAACCGCTATTTCAGATATCGAAGTCGATTTCAAAGATTTAGAGAAACACACTAAATTACCAGTTCCAGGTCATGATGGTCTTTATGATTTTGGTGTCCTCTTTGAATTTGCTTATCCAGTCGAAGGTACTGGTGAACATTTAGTTGTTGCTACCACCCGTATTGAAACAATGTTAGCTGATACTGCCATCGCTGTTCACCCAGATGATGAACGTTATAAACATCTCCATGGTAAATTTGCTGTTCATCCATTGGTCGATCGTAAGATTCCAATTATTACTGATGCTATTTTAGTCGATAAAGATTTTGGTACTGGTGTTGTCAAGATTACTCCATCACACGATCCAAACGATTATGAAACTGCCCTTCGTCACAAATTAGAGTTTATCAATTTATTCACAGATGAAGGTATAATCAATGAAAATGGTGGTAAGTTTGCTGGTATGAAGAGATTCGATTGTCGTAATGCAGTTGTTGAGGCATTAAAAGAAAAAGGTCTTTACAAGGGCATGAAGGATAACAAGATGAGATTAGGTATCTGCTCTCGTTCAAAGGATATCATCGAACCAATGATCAAACCACAATGGTACGTTAAATGCGATGAAATGGGTGCCAAAGCATTAAATGCTGTCAAGGATGGTGACCTCAAAATTATTCCAGAAACTCAAAAAATCACCTGGTACCGTTGGTTAGAATCAATTAAAGATTGGTGTGTTTCAAGACAATTATGGTGGGGTCATCGTATTCCAGCTTACCATGTCAGTATCAAAGGTGTTAGATCTAATCCATATGATACTAATCAATGGGTTGTTGGTATGAACCAAGAAGAAGCTAGAAAGAATGCCACAGAAAAATTCAAATGCTCAGATGAAGATATTGTTTCAATCGAACAAGATCCAGATGTTTTAGATACTTGGTTCTCATCAGGTCTCTTCCCATTCTCAGTTATGGGATGGCCAGATCAAACTGAAGATATGATGAATTTCTATCCAACTTCACTTTTAGAAACTGGTTCAGATATTCTTTTCTTCTGGGTCGCTCGTATGGTTATGATGGGTCAACAATTAACTGGTAAATTACCATTTGATACTGTTTTCCTTCACTCTATGGTCAGAGATGCTCATGGCAGAAAGATGTCAAAATCATTAGGTAATGTCATTGATCCAAATGATGTTATTAAAGGTGTTTCATTAGATGGTCTTATAGAAAAACTTTATGAAGGTAATCTTGATCCAAAAGAAGTCGAAAAAGCTTCTGCTGGTGTCAAACAAGATTTCCCAAATGGTATTGCAGAATGTGGTACTGATGCTATGAGATTTGCTCTCTGTGCTTACACATCTCAAGGCCGTGATATCAATCTTGATATTCAACGTGTTGTTGCTTATCGTAATTTCTGTAACAAGATTTGGAATGCTACTCGTTTCGCTCATATGAAATTAGAATCATTATTTAAACCATCCGCTTTTGATGCCCAAGAGTTACTTAAAGACACAAATGCCATCAATATTTGGATTCTCAATGCTGCTCAACGTGCCATTAAAGACGCTAATGAAGGTTTTGACAGCTACGATTTCTCTAAAGCTACCACTGCAGTTTACAACTTTTGGTTATCTGAATTATGCGATGTCTATTTAGAAATGACCAAATCTATCTTTTCAATTGAAGAGGATGCTCCAATTAAACAAAAAACTAAAGAAACCCTTTACACTTGCATTGATATTGGTCTTCGTCTTATTCATCCATTCATGCCATTCCTCTCAGAAGAACTTTACCAATCATTACCACGTCGTCAAGGTGATACTATTCCATCCATTATGTTAGCTCCATACCCAATTCCACAACCACTTTGGGAATCACCAAGCATCGAAAAGGAAATGATGGAATGCCAAGATGTCATTAAATCAATTCGTTCACTTCGTTCATCCTACAATATCCCAACCTCTAAAAAGATTCACACCTTTATTCACGTCAAAGATCACGAAAATCTTGAAAGATTCAATAGTCACGCTCAATTCATTCGTGTTTTAGCTTATGCTTCACAACTTGAAGTTCACATTAGTGCTGAATCACGTCCAGGTTGTATCATCAATATCGTCAATGAAAATGTTTCAATTCTTTTAGATGTTAGAGGTTCAGTTGATTTCAATCAAGAAATTGGACGTCTCGAATCAAAGAAATCTCTTTTAGTTAAAAACTTTGACACTCTTCAATCAAAAACTCAAGCACCAACTTATGAAAAAGTTCCACAAACTATTAAAGATAATGATTCAACTAAACTTAAATCATTAGAAGAAGAAATTACTTTAACAAATCAAACTATTGAATCATTTAAAAAATTAAATATTTAAAAATAAAAATAAAATAAAATAAAATAAAATAAAAAAAATAAAATAAAATCACTAAATATTTTATTAATATTTAAATAATTATACAAATTATATCTTTTCTTTTTTTTTTACAATCATTACCTTTTTATAGTAAAACAATTAAGAGAAAATACAAACACACCTCCCACTCTAAAAAAAAATAATTATTTTTTTATTTTTTATTTATTTATTTATATTTCCCATACCCACTAATTTTAATAGAGAAAATAATTATTTTTATTTTTATTTTTTTTTTTTTATATTTTAAATAAAATGAAAAAATATATTTTTAATTTTATACATTATATTTATATTAACATTGGGTTGATATGATTTTAAAAATAAAAAAAAACAAATCTATATTAATATCACTATTATTTATTGTATTTATTCATTATAATGAAGCTCAGGTAAAGTTTGGATATCCTATTCCAACAAATGAAGAGGATTTATCCTGTACAATTAATTTATGTGCAAAAAGAGGAGAACATTGCAGTACAGAAAATAAAACAACGTATGTAATAGTAGTATTTTTATATAATTTATATTTTATTAACCAATAATAATATCAGTGGATTTGAATGTGACATACGTGATAGATGTTTGGATGGAATATGTGTAGAGGGTTTATTAGAAAATGAAGTTTGTCAAATAAGTGCAGATTGCGATTTTGGTTATTCATGTGTACCATCATTAAATGGAAAAAAATATTGCGAAAAAGCTTTTTTTATAGACTATGGTGGAGCTTGTAATAAATCTATTCAATGCTCTCATAGTTTAGATTGCGTTAATAATGTTTGCTCAACACCTTTATTGGGGTATTATTAAATATATATTATTTTTAAAACAAAATAAAATAAAATCATGCTGATCATTTTTTTTAAAAATAGATGTTTTTCTGATTTGCAATGTGCAGAGGATGAAATATGCACAAATGGGGCTTGCCAAAAGTATATATTACAGGTAAATATAGTTGTTTTATTTTGTATATATAATAGTATTAATATTTTTTTTATATAGGAAAATGAATGTTTTATCTATAGATCACTTCCATGTAATAAAAATTTTAGGTCATGTATTTTAAAATCATTTAATGTATCTTCAATAGGAATATGTATAGATGATGTACCAGAAGGTTCACCTTGTTTAACAGCGAAATTTTCTTGTCAATGGGGTTTGGGACAATATGTAGGTTTAATTTAAAAAATAAAAGTAAAAAAAATATTTATTAATTTTCTTTTTTTTATGATGATTAGTGTAGCCCTCTTTTTGTTGGTTCATGTATGTAGTTATAAATCTAAAAAAACAAATTAATATTAATATTTAATTCATTTTAAAAGCATTGGGTAAATGTTCGAATCCTGGTTCAAATAAGTTTAATACATGTACCACAAGAAGATCTTGTGGTGAGAATGAATATTGTAAATGTGATCCTACAAGTGGTATTGGATATTGTGTAATTTTAGGTACATTTCTTGGGAACAATTGTCAAGATGCTTCAAAAGTAAAATACAATAAATCAAATTAAATAGATTTTATATTAGTATTAATATAACATTAAGCTTTATATAGAGTGTTTTCTTAGGTCAAATTGTACACAACCATACTCAGCAAATCCATTTTCATGTGTTAGAAGAAATTGCATGCAAGAATCTTTGTGTTATGAATCATTTTGTTCCGAAAAATTACTACCCTTTGATTTTTGTGCAGATTCGCCGTGTAATTTACAATTGTTTCAGGATGGTAATGTACCAGAAATTGCAGAATCTTTGGGTGTTCCACATTCTAAAATAAATTTAAGAAGATATTTATTATATTTATTGTTCGTGTATAGTTTTATTGCATATATCATAGTAATTTAATTAGGGATGGTATGTATACAGTTTAGTTTTTATTAATAATCAACAAATTTTAACCTTACATCACATTATAAATAATAGAAGGAAAAATCAATAGATGGGAAAATAAACAAGTGTCCTAATCAACAATCAAATTTTGCTCCTGTGACCATTTTTTTTTGGTCAAAGGTTTTATTATAAGAAATATAATATAATAATATTTATTATATCGAAAACATCAAATATTATTAAACTAAAGAATTTGAATAATCCATGGATTAATTTATGTGGAGAGTAACCGTCATAAATATAATTTTTTAAAATAAATTTTTTTTTTAATTTTTTTTTTTTTTTAATTTTTTTTAATCAATAAAAAATATCTTTTTTTTATTTTTTATTTCATATATTGGTTTTATGTAATTTATTAATAATTATAAAAATGTTCAATAAATTAAAAAAATCCAATGTTACTAGTATTAACGATGATAGTAATGTTATAAAAAAAGAAAGTGGTATTTCAACATTGTTTTCAAGAAAATCTCAACAGCAACAGCAATCAACACAACAACAAATAGCACAACAGCAATTATTACAACAACAACAACAAAATAAACCATCAGTATTAAGTCAACAAACTGAAATCTCTAGTATTTTAAATTTTATTCCATTAAGAGAACAATATAAAAACAATTTGGTAGATACGATCAACTATATCAAGAATGAACAATTATTAATGAACAACCTAAATAATCTAAATGAAGGAATATCAAATATGGGTGGAAGTACTGTATTCGACAATTCAACATCATTGGTAATTGACCCAACAATCATTGGACTAATGAATTTATTTATAGATGGTCAATTTTTAAAACAAAATGGTATCGATAGAATTTATGAATTAAAACCTGGCAAACTAGACACCGAGAATAAAAATATCATCTATCTACTTAGACCAAGAGTAAAGTATATGAATTTCATCTCAGATCATATCAGATCCCATCTATATGAATTTATGAAAAAGAACTACTCAATCATCTATTTACCAAAAGTAGACCCAATTTGTAACAGCATATTAGAAGAGCAAGGTGTTTATGGTAACTTTAGCACAATTACATCAATGCAGCTAGATTTGATACCATTCGATAGTGATGTTCTTTCAATGGAGCTATCTAATTCTTATAGGGACTATTTATTAGGAAATGATAAATCGATATGTTATGAAATTGCCAAATCTATAAATAAACTTCAATCTCTCTTTGGTATAATTCCGCTATTAAAAGGAAAAGGAAAAGCTTCAAAATCAATTGTCGAAATTTTACATCGTTTAAGAAAAGAAAAAGAACAAGAATTAAAGCAACAACATCAACAGCAACAAGATCAGGAATCAAACTCCCCACAATTTAGATTAGAGGTTTCAAAAGAAATAGAGTCAATTCTTTTTATTGATAGGGAAATTGATTATGTTACAACTTTATGCACACCACTTACCTACGAAGGCTTAATTGATGAATATTTCTCAATTAATAACAATACTTTAATGGTGGATACTCAACTTTTAGTCGATAGTATGAACTATGCAACACCAAAGGGACAACCAAACCAAATGAACCAAGGATCACAAACCTATAGTAAAAGATCACAATACCCATTACACTCTGGTGACAAGATATTCAAAGAGGTTAGAGACCTGAACTTTTCAAGCCTAATGGGTGCAGGTGGTGTATTAAACAAAAAGGCAAAACAACAATTTGACGATAAAAAACAACTCACAGGCAATGAAAGTATTACAGCTATCAGAGATCTAATGAAAAGAGTAAATGCCTCAAAACAAGAAGAATTTTGCTTACAAGTTCATGTTGGTATTGCTGAAAAGATACATGAAATCACAAGCTCAACATATTTCCAAAATCGTTTAGATTGCGAACAAAAACTTCTATTAGGTTCTGATGTATTTTTAGCTGAGAAATATATTCAAGATTGCATCAATATAAAAGACCCCATTCTCAAAATACTTAGATTATTGGCATTATATAGCATCACCAACAATGGTTTACCACTAAACGATTATGAAACAATTAAATCAAAAATAGTCACCAACTATGGTATGGATATACTCTTCCCATTAAATCAATTAGAAAAAATTGGACTAATTCAAATTCGAAAGCAACAAGACTCAAAACCACTATTAAACTTCGAATCTCTAAAAGAAGAGTTAAATTTAATAGTTGACGACATCGATGAAACCAATCCATCAGATTTTTCTTATGTTTATTCAGGTTATGCCCCAATTCTAATTAGAATCATTCAATATTCTTTAAACTCCTCAAGAATTGGTTGGAAGTCAATAGAAAACTCATTAAAACTATTACCTGGTCCAAATTTTGAAGAATCTCAAGTTTATTTAATAAATAATAATACAAACAATAACAATAGTAATAATCATATTAATAACAACAACAATAATATTAATAGCAATAATAATAATAATCTAAACACAAGCAGTGATAGCTATATTAACAACAACAGTGGTAAAAATATAAATAACCCAAATAACCTAAATAATCTAAATAATCTAAATAATCTAAATAATAATAATAACATAAACTTTGATAAGCCACCAACAGTATCATTAGTATTTTTTGTAGGTGGAGTTACATTTTCGGAAATCAGTGCATTAAGATTTTTAGGTAAACAAACAAATAGGAAATTTTTAATTTTAACCACAAAACTAATTAATGGTGACTCTTTAATACAAAGCTTTTTAGAATCGCCTTAAAAATTTTTACCAATAAAATAATTTATAAAATATTTAAAATAGTTTTTTTATTTTTTTTTTTGTATTAAATTAACAAGCCTTGTCTTTCTAAAACATTGGCCATATTCAAAGCGGGTAATATATCCATAATTTCTTTAATATCACAAGCTTTTTGAAGGAAAGGATGATTTAAGAGGTCAATTGCTTTTGATCTTTTTGATGGGTCAAACTGTAGGCATTGAGAAACGAAATCCAAAGCTTCAAAAGACCATAGAGGACGTTCAGTTTGTGAAATTTTTAAACCATCGGTCGCAACAGTTACCATTGCTCTGAGACGAGAATCGTAGTTTGGTACTCTTCCATCCAACATTTCTACCACACAAATACCAAAACTCCAAATATCAGCAGAGATTGAATGAAACTTGCCATTAATTTGCTCAGGAGGCATCCAGTATGATGAACCACACATGTTTATTTCTTCTTTTTCCATATTGAAATCAATTGCCAACCCAAAATCAATGATTTTAACTTCACCTTTGACACTGATCATAATATTACCACTCTTTAGATCTCTATGACAAATATTCTTGCTATGGAGGTATTCAATACCCTTCAATACCTCTCTACAAACGAATGCAATCTTTCTTTCACAGAATTTGAAGTTCCTAATAGCTTGAGAAAGAGTTCCACCTTCCATAAACTCCATAATTAACCAAAACTCATCAGACTTTTGGAACGAACATAAAAACTTTGCAATATTTGGGTGTGAGCAATACTTCATAAAGCCAATTTCACTAAGATTCATTCTCTTTTGCTTGTTGGTTTTATTAGGCATCTTCTTGAGGGCAACCATTTGCTTTTCCATTACTGAATGTGGAGTTTTATTTTTTGCTGCAAATACACTTCCAAAACCACCTCTTGCTTCGAAATCTAAATTCTTATAATGTTCTTTTGGATTACCTTCATTTAATAGCTTTTCAAGTGCCAAGTCATATTCCTCTGGAAACTTAAAGAATTGGCCCGGTGAAACAAAAATACGATTTGAATCAATTCTCTTTTTTCTTCCTGGATAACAATATGAATATGATAAACCTGAAATATTATTTGGTGTTAAGATTATATTTGATGTTGGTGTTGTAGAACCGTTATTATTAATATTAATATCATCACTATTAATTTTTAATAAATTTAAATCCAATGGCTTTAAACTATTATTACTATTACTATTACAATTATCTGTAATAGATGGTGAATTAAGAATATCCTCTTCTAATAATGAAATATGATTTTTAATAATTATTTCTGGGATTGAGACATTTCTACTATCTATATTGATTTTAGTGGTATTATTATTGATACCATTATCATCATTATTATTTGTATTATTATTTTCATTATTATTATTTACATTATTATTTGAATTAATATTTGCATTATTATTATTTACATTATTATCATTGTTGTTATTATTTTCAACGGTTTCACCATCTATTGTTGGGAGATTGTTTGGTAAGTTATTATCATCGATTATAGAGGAAACAATAACAGAAGGTATACTGTTTATTGGAGAGGTACTTGATAAGGTAGGTGTATTAATACCAAATTTAGGAGTTTGCTGATCCTTGTTCATTTGACTAATTTGTTCAGGTTGTTCGATAAATTTGTAATATACCAATTCTCTTCTTCTTAAAAAGTTTAATACAGTTAAAACAGTAGTGAAATGTTGAGTTAGGAATTCTTCTTCGATACCACTTATTTGAATCCACTTTTTATCAGTTTTTAATAACCCTTTAACATCAGATACACAATAGACTACAGGATGTAATTCACCATCATTATCTTCAACAGCATTGCCACCGCCCGCATTACCACCCGCCATTTCCCTAATACCACTATTGCCATTTCCTTCACTTGAACTACTCTTTTTACTAAAACTTATATCATCTTTTAAATTTTTATCTTTTGTTTTTTTGTTACTCTAAAAATAAATAAAAAGAAAATGATTATTATTATTATTATTATTATTATTATTATTATTATTATTATTATTATTATTATTATTATTATTATTATTATTATTATTATTATTATTATTATTATCAGTATTTATTAACTAATACATACTTTTTTATTTGGAACAATAACAGATCTTTTTTCACTATCCACCAACTCCTCATTATCATTATGTTTTTTTTTTTTACTAAAAAGACTTGATAAAAGATTATTCATTTTTTTTTATATGTATGTAATTGTTGTTTTCTTTACTATTATAAAACCATTTATTTAATAATAAATACTAACTATTATAGAGAATAAAAATTATTATAATCTATTTACAAAAGCTATTTAAAAAAAATATATCTATTTATAAACAAATACTATTGATGTTATGCTGTGCTGTTATTATTTAAAAAATACATATTAATATAAATCATATTAATTAATTTTAAAATTATTAGTTTAAAAAAATAAAAAAAAAATTAAAAAATTAAAAAAAAATTTTATTTTTAAAAAAAAAAAAAAAGAAAAATAAATTGATATATATATCAGTTACCTTTATTAACAATGTGTAATATAATTAAAATAAATCACTAAAATTATAATATTATCACAAAATAAAAAAAAATAAATAAAAAAATATTAAAAAAAAACAATTCTTGAGTAATAGTGAAAAAACTGTTTTGGGTGTTTTTTTTTAAAATTATTTTATTTTATTTTATTTTAATTTTTGTAAATATCCATCTTTTTTTGAAAAAAATTATAAATCAAAGAAAAATTTTAAAACAAAACAAAAAAAATCTTTTTTTCTTTGCAATGCAAGAACAAAGAAATTTTTTACAAATATATTCATATAGATTATTAATCTATATAATATAATAAATAATTTTTATTTTTAAATTAAACCAAATTATAATTTGATTTTTTTTTTTTTTTTTTTTTTTGTTTGTTTGTGGTATACCAATAATAGTGTATGAAACTATATTTCGCCTTTAACATATTATTTATGATGGTTTATGGTTTGGTTTGGTTTGGTTTGGTTTGATTTGATTTGGTTTGAAACTACAGAGAATTTTAATTTAAAAATATTTTAAAGTTGATTAATTAGTTGTTGATTAATTAACTCTGTGTCTTTTTGATAATTTTTGAACATCGTCATCCAATAATTCATCTTCATCATCATTAACATAGTGGAAATTAACAGTTAATGGAGTTGAGTTTGAAGAATGTTGAAGAGAAATAATGAATGGATAATATGGATGGAAAATATAGGTTGCATATTTTTTGGCAGTTCTTTCATTTTTATCTTGAAGACCAGTATTTAATTTGAATTTAACTTCGCCACTGATACGGGAATAAAATTTAATAGGGAAATCTACTAATGGTTTAGGTCTTTCTGTTGATGAAATAATCTTTTCGTCATAACTAAAGAGATATTTATCAAAATATGGACTTTCATTCCAGGATTGAGGAGAAAATGGGAGAGCTGATAAAATTCTTTTAACTGCTTGGGTTTCACCACCATAACGTGCATTTACAACAGCCAATTTCTGTTTAATTAAATGTTCACGAACAAAGCTATTGTTTGAGCAAGTACTTCTAAATTTAATTAAACCAGATGGGCAACTACAAGCACGGAAATGTTCGCAAAATTGTTCGAATGTTTTAGCAAATTCCTTATTTGAGTTTTCATAGACACCTATAATTTCGGTTGTGTAGATGTTATAGACTACAAAGAAGCAGATTTGATTACAGTAATCGGTGACCCTACCCAATAAGCCATCAATTGATCCAAATTTAATTAAAAGATGTGAAGCATCCAAAGATTGCATTTTCCACATAACCAAGCTGCAATATTGTGGGAATAATGAATAGTACATACTGAGCGATTTGGTTCTGTTTTCACTTGTGTTAGCTTTCTTGAAAAGATATGTTAGGAATCTTTGTTTAATTCCAAATATTTGTTTATCTTTTAATTTTTTCATTTCAGGATTTCTATTTGGATAAATAATATCGTCTTCGTCTTCTAAAACTGTAGATTGATTAGGTAAAATAAAATCTTGTTGTGGTGGGCTGGTAACAATATTATTTGTTGTATTATTGGTTGCTGTTGTAGTAACATTATTATTGGTAATATTTGGAATACCATTATTTGAATTACCTAAACCACCATTAATAGTATTACGTAATAAATTAATATCTACAAAGGCATTGGGATTTGATTCAGTAGTTGTAGTAGTTGTTGTGGTTGTGGTGGTTGTGGTTGTTGTTGTAGTTGTGGTTCTATTTGGATTAACTCTTATATTTAATTGAGTTTGTTGTAATGGACGATTATTAGTTGGTGCTGGTGTTGGTGTTGGTATTGGTGCTGGTGCTGGTGTTGGTGCTGGTGTTGGTGCTGGGGCGGGTAATGTTGGTGGTTGTCTAGTTTGTTGCTGATTTATAACATCATTTAAAGGATCTGGTAAAGTAGCTCTAAGATTTATATTTATGTTATTATTTGTTGTGGTGGTTGTGGTTGTGGTTGGAGATGTATTATTGGTGGCTGTTGTTGTTGGTATATTTTCAACAGTCTTCTTTAAATGATTATTTAAATTATTTGCATTTAATTCTCTTTGATTCTTTTTATCATTTGAAGCTGATTGTTTTGATTTATTTCTGTTTAAATAGGAGACAACGAAATCAGGATTCATCGGACTAATAGTTTGATAGGTTTCTTGACGTTGTTGCTTTTCTAATTGTTGTTTTAAAAATGGAATTTCCTTTTTATTTAAATGATCAATTTCCAATTGATCATCCTCGTTACAATGTGGCCCTATAGTACGTAAATTTACAAATTTGGCATCTTTAATTTGAAAGATATGAATTGATTGGTATTGAAGTGAAAGTACTATAAACAAATCTTTATAAAGATAGACACCTGAATGATGTGCTAAATGGATTACATCTCGTTTGAATGTAATTTTATCTCTAACAACACCGTCATTAATGCTAACTAAATAAAATGTTAAATCTTCACAGTTTTGTAAATTTATCGATTGTGTTGTATTTCTATTTCTATTTATATCTTGGTGCTCTTCAATATTATTTTGATTTGAAAGTTGATTGGTGGTTGCTCCGCTTGATGCTAAAATAAACTATAAAAAAATGTTAATAACATTTTATTTCTTTTTTTGAAATTTTAAAATACCTACATAATTTCCACATAAAGTTGTCAAAGCAAAGTCACGGCATAAATATTCATTAAAATTTGGTATATAGCTTTGATAAAGAGAGCGGAAATAAGTATTAAAGTTTCTTTCAATTTTCTCTTTTTCTGCTTTGCTGGTTCCTTTTGGTATATTAAAGTTTGAGCCTATAAAACGATAGAGTATAATCTCTTTGAAATCTTTTGAAAAACATAACAACTTTTCGCCATCTGAGGTAAATTTCTTTATTATACAATTTGGAGTATCGATATTGTAAACAGTTTTATCTGGTGTAACATTTAAATAAAATTTTCTTGATTGTAATGAAGCTGTACCTGGTTTTGCACGTGTCATTTCACGCTGTCTTAATTGATATTCTAAAGTGTGTGTTTTTAATTGGATTTTTTGTCTTCTCTTTAATTCATTGTGCTCTCTTTCTAATTGTGCTTCAATTTCAATACCTCTTTTTAATGGATTGATTGATGTGGTTGTAATAGAATCATCTTCGGTAATTTCTTTTTGTTGTAATGATTCATCTTCTTTGGAAGTTGAATTTTGAATAATGTTTGGTGTTGAAATAACTAAATTACTGTCATTATTATTATCATTATTGCTATCACTATTATTACTATTATTATTATTATTAATATTATTATTTTCGAGTTCACCACTACTATTACTATCATTGCTATTGTTACAAATAATATTATTATTATTTAATGTACTATTACTATTATTACTATTATTTAAACCATTTGATAATGGTGAATTTGGGTCACTTAAAAATGATTGAGATTGATTTAAATGAATTCCAATTGGTATATTATCTATATTATTTAAATTTTCACTGTTATTGTTGTTATTATTATTATTATTGTTGTTGT